ATCCAAGTATAATGAAATCTTTGATAACTTCAATCTTTTCTCCATCAGCCATGGTATTGCCTATTGGTCCAGTGGTGAGGATTCTTGATTTTAGATACTGAGATGGATGAAATCCATATTGAATGCACAATGAAAAAATAGAAGAAATTAAATGATGACTCTGGCACGATATTTTGTTTCACAAACCTTATATAAAATGCTATAAAATATTTGGAGAATAAATTCTTTCTAATGCAAGAGATAACCTGGGGAGCATTTACAATGCTGTGCATTTACACATTTAATACAGACATAGGCATTTAGGGCAAAGTCTTTGTTTTTCAGTCCACAGCACATCATGTATTCTGGCCAAACTTCTCTTAAATTCTCAAATTCATCCTTTAAGAGCTCTGAAAGCAAGGAGTTCCTTTTCTCTATCCTTCTCCTTTTAGTTCACAAATTTATTTTCTGAATGTTCCTCCTTGACTTGATTAACTATATTTTTAGTAATTTGCTATTTATTTACCTTCTTAAAATTTTTCTTTTTTGGCCAAAATGGAAGCTCAGTGCAATTATATACAAAGATTTAAGAAGAATACAAGCTGAATGGAAATAGAAGCAGGAAACACCTAGCTATCTCTGTTAAAACTGATAAAAGGTCCAACATTTCCCTTTCTCTGTTTTCCAAATATTACAAATTTTAAACACAGTATTTTAAATAAAAAGCTCTTTCCCTAAGTGATCTCATTAAGTCTCAAAGTTTTAAACATCTGGTGATCACACTTAATTTAATATCTTACATGCTTTAAAATTAAGAAAGGTCTACATTAGGGCTGTATCTTTCCTCCATATCTGTGTAAACTGCATGCTGCGCAAATTCGGAAAGTTACTCTCTACGAGGAAGAATGTGGCATCAGGATTGGAAAAAGACTCATCAATAATCTTTGTATGCAGATGACACTACCTTGCTTGCTGAAGTGAGGACTTCTGCTTGCTGCAGAAAGTTAAACACTGCATGCTTCAATATTAATTGCATCTCAATGTCAAGAAAACAAAACTCCTTGCCACTGGAGCAATAGACAACATCATGATGGACAGAGAAAGGATTAAGACTGTCAAAGACGTTATCTTCTTTGGATTCACAATCAATATGCTTGGTACTAGCAGGTTCTGACTTGATGATACATAAGCACAACTCTGATCTTTATGATTAGTAATAGTTAAACCCAACAACAATGACTTAGGAGTGAGGAAGCATAGAGGATAATGCTTTTACTTTCTTTAATCCTATCCTACTTGAATTTAAAGGTTTTTTTTTAAAGAAACACTAATATATTTAACTGTGAAGACATTATGGCATAGAAATGATAATTAAAGGAAAACATTATGTAGATATTAGATAATATGAGATACAACATAAGTGAAACATACTTATAAATATAGTTTGGTGTTGTAAACATTATTAACGTCTCTTCACATAATGTACTGCTATTAATAAATTACATTCAACCTTATATTTAAATAACGAAAATGAAACAATCTTTCCACATAATGCAGAGTGGTAAAATTAAAGAAGGCATAGTAGAACTGAGTAAAAAGATCTGAATTCAAGTCATTATTTTATTTCCTGTTGGCTGCCTGATGGGGAATAATTTGATTTTTTTTGTCTCTCGTTTTTTTAATTTGTTAAATGGAAATTAATAACATATGTTCTGGTTCCTCCATGAACATTAGGTGGTATAAAGAATATGAAAAAACCCAAGAACAACCTTCTCTCTTATTGCCCTTGAGTCAGAACCAACTCTTAGCTGAGCCTCCAGTGGATTTTTGGAAGCCGTAAATCACTCAGGAGGTGATTGTCCCTCTTTCTGCTACAGACCCACGGGTGAATTCAACCTGACACTGAGGTGTGGTTTGCGAGTTAGCAGCACCAAATCAGAACTCCGTAATGTATCACAAAAAGTGCAAATGAAGGTCAAAATTGAAAAATGAACTTGGGAAGTTGGACAGGATTGTAGAGGTGAAGATGTCTCAGAGAGAACAAACTGGCTTACTTACATTCATTTTCTAAGTACCTTTTAACAGATAATCTGGAAAGTCAATGAGAACTAACTTAGACTACATCCCTCAGTATAGTGATTAAGAGCACAGTATATATTTGATTCCCCCCCCTTTTATTGAGCTGTAAAAACAACATAGCGTATTAACAATTTTGGCTAATAAGTATGACTGTTGTACCTGGCATATATTAGTTGCTCAATAAATACTTGTTAATTGTTTGATTAAGTAACATCACAGGCTTTGGTCTAGATGGTTCACAGTGCTGATTTTAATTAGAAACTTTACCCATGGCTTGCTTTATAACTACAGACATATTACACAGACTTTTGAAATTTTTCTTTTTTGACCCATAAAATTGAGGTACTAATAGAGTACAATGAAGTACAATTCTTTGTAGAATTGTGGGGAGAGTACATTAACTCACTCAATAATTTATCTTTGGTGTTTTTAGGCTTAAGGTTAATAAATGAGAGAGAATAACAAAGTGCATTCTTATGGTGCTTACGCTTAAGCTAGTAAGGTAGAAACAAATCAAATGTGCATGAAGTTTCAAAGCAGTGATGAGTGCACCGATGGGACAGCACAAGGTGCTGGAAGGGAAAGCACTGGGGATGGATGTGTCAACTTAAACCAGGTAGCTAGGGCAGGTAACTCAGAGGAGTGACATTTGAAATAGAAACTTTCAAGAAGGTGATTTTATGTGTAAGCATGTATGCGCTCACTACAAGTCAGCGATCTTATTTTCTAAAGATGGATGCATTGCAGCAGATGTTAAAATACATCTCCTCCTGCCTCACTCTTTACAGTCAGACAAAAATCAGCTATGTTCAATCGCCAGAACATGTTACAACCATCTGAGTGGACATTTTAAGCTCTTAACTCTTTTCCTGCCTCTGTAAACTGCCAGAGGATAGAAAAATTATTGCAATTCCATACACATCATACATCTATCACCCTCCAAATGCTGTCCACTAATGCCTAACCATTCTGGAACCTTTTACGAATCACTTCATCATGAACTTAAACAGTAATCTGCTTTCTTAATGGATGCCAGCTTCAACTCTCCCTGAGTAGCAGCTTCCTTGTTCCACCTATTTAATTCAACATACAGGACTACAATTTTTGTCTGTTCTTTGTTGTTGTTAAGTGCCGTCAAGTTGCCTGCAACTCCTAGTGACCCTATGTATAACAACTCTGAAGTCAGCCTTGTTCTGAGCCAATCTCACTGACTCTCACAGACCTACCCCCATAACCCTACTTACTGTGTCAAACCATCTCATCCGGTGGTCTTCCTCTCCTGTGCTGTCCCTCCACCCTTCAGAACACGATGCCTTTCTCTAAGGATTGGTCCCTCCAGGCCACATGCCCAAAGTATGAGAGACAAAGCTTCAAAATCCTAGCCTCCAAGGAGAGACTTGGTTTTGCCCTCTCCAAGACAGACCTATTTGTTTTCTTGGCAGTCCATGGTATGTTCAAGACTCTTCTCCAGCACCACAACTAAAAGGCATAAATTTTTCTTTTGTCATCTTTAGTCATTGTCCAGCTCTCTGATGCATAGAAAGTAATTGCAAAGACCATTAGTTTGTCCTTTAGAATTAGTAAAACTATCCTGGACCCAGAAAACATCAGGGTGTAAGAGTTAGACAGATAGGTGTCTGTGGGTCTTACAGACAAGAAAGTCACAATAAACATGGGTGTGCATATATCTAGGGTATATTCCCAATAATGGAGTTGCTGGGTCAAATGGTGTTTATATTTCTAACTTTTTGAGAAAGCACCATACTGTCTTCCATAGTGGCTGCACCATTTTACATTCCCACCAACAGTGAATAAGTGTTCCAGTTTCTCCACAACCTTGCCAGCATTTATTGTTTGCTGTTCTGTTAAATTTAGCTATTCTTACTGGGGTGAGATGATTTCTCATAGTTGTTTTGATTTGCATCTCTCTTAGAGCTAGGGATTTTGAACATTTCTTCATATGTTTGTTCGCCATCTGATTCATCTTCTGTTGTTATTGGTGTTGTTATGTGCTATCAAGTCAGAACTGATCTATAGCTGACCTTCCAGTGGGTTTTCAGAGGCTGTAAAATGCATGGGAGGAGATTATCCATCTTTCTCCTTGGTTATTTGAACCACTTGCCTTTGAGTTGGAAGCAAAACTCCTTTAAGCCACAGAGTGTCCTGTTACTACTATTTTCCAATTTGGGTCTATAGTTTAGAGCAAAAGTAATTGTTCTACATAATAAGGGGATATTTACATAATGTCAACTGAGTTTTTATTATCTACCACATCGATACTGCTCTAAATAGATGCTGAGCACATTTTTTCAATGTTTATTTGAAATACGCTAAGTTATTAGAGTCCTAGGTGTCTTCCTGTCTTAGTCCAGCCCAGCTAGAGACATACATCACAGCATCAGAAAGCCTTCTTGGAAATCAGAGGAGTTAAGGGCAGGGAACTTGAAGTCTACAAAGACAGCAGAGCTAGAACCACTTTTTTGAAAGCTCTGGCCTCATTAATTCTCTGAAAGCATCCTCCCCAAAATGTTAATACTCTCAGTGATGGCCTTTCAAGAGATGAGCAGTATATTTCTACTTAGACACAACCAATTCTTTTCATCCTTAAACAGTTATGGATTCTCACTCTGAAAAGCATCTCTATTATTGAAACAAACAAATAATAAATGTGCAACACTTTCATACATTATCTCATTCTATTTTCATATTGATCCAATAGAGGAGGTATTAGACATTTGCATTTCACAGATGAAAAATTGAGGCTTGGAGAAGTGAGGTGATTCACCCAGGTCATACACAGGTTGAGTAATTTGCCCAAGTCCCACAACCAACTTTGACAGACCTGTGACATATAGTGAGGTGTGACTGACTACAAGGTCCACGCTCTTTCTGTTCATGCCAGGGTGAAGTGTGATATTTCTCTGGATATTGTTTACACTTACATCATCACTTTAGCCTCTTCAATGAAATCCTCTTCAGACATGGAGCCTTCGTTGATGGCCTTGATCGCTACCTTGATGTGTGCTCGCCATTTACCTAAATGGACTACCCCAAACTGACCACTTCCGATCTCCTTTATAACAGCCAGCTCAGAGGGATCAATCTCCCATTTCTCTGGAAAAGAAAAGTTGAAAAATAGGAAAAGGAGTGTTTATATTTTAAAGCTAAAAATGGTCTAGAAATTTCCCAGACTTTTAAAAAAAAGGAAGTTAAAATTGTTATAACTGAATGCTGCATAGTGGAGTGGACTTGGGGGAAGGGATTGTGTAACAATGGAAGAATTTTTCTTTTACTTTTCAAAGAGAAGAGTGAACTAGGGGGAGGGGTGGGCAGGGACAAAAATGGAACAATGAATGGAAATCCAAAGTCTGTAAAATTTCATTAAAATTGATTAAAAAAAACTTTTAAAAATGAATGAAGAGGATCTATAGCCATTTTTAACACACTACTGCAATTTTTTTTTTACAAACCCTTGTGTACTACTGCAATTAAAAAACATGAATTTTCAAGTTTGAAAATACATCTGTAGGTACTTGGCAAAGAATATACAACAAACTGTACAGGAAAGCAAGTATGTTTCCTCTTTCCAAAGAGCCCAGAATGAAATACTGGTCTGTGTCTCTCTAAACCAAATCTCCTTAGTCTGTGTTTGTCTTGATGAATAAAGTTTTGAGGCAGATAAAATTTGTAATATGCATCCTCCCTCATTTCAGTTCCTTCTGTTCCTCTCCATCCTACTCAACGCTTGTTAGGTTTTTGCATTTTTTCTTCTATCTTAAGGGGGAAATCTAACAAAGGCATATTAATAAACATATAATAATATTTAGTATTAGAAAAAATATGTATGTGTATGCATATGTTGGCAATGAAATTTATATCACTGTGTATTTCTTACGCAATAAAAGCAAGTCAGGGATAAATAAAAGAACTTTTTTAGAAAGAGTAACATCTTTTTGGCATCTTATTTTATATACCCACACTGCTCTCTGCTGGAAGGTTAGAACAATGCATTTAAAAGAACTGAAAAGAGACAGCATGTTTAACAGCTTTGCTAAGTGTATCTTTCCTTACGACCAAGCTCTGGTGATTTAGGAAGCTCTGGTGGCCTAGTGCTAAGAAGCTGTGCTGTAATCCCAAAGAGATATGGTTCAAATCCACCCGCTGCTCCATTGGAAGAGGATGGGCAATCTCTTGCGTGATTTACTGACTCTGAAAACCTCACTGAAGGGTCAGCTATAGGTTGGACTTGATGATACACAACAACCACTTTTCCTGAAGGAATGTGACTTACAGGTAGCATGGTGTGTGTAGTAAGTGAAGTGTTGTGTTGCTAACGAAAAAGTTGGCAGATTGAACCTACCAATTGCTGCAAGGCATAAAAATGAAACAATTTCCTCTCTGTAAGATTTCTTTTTTAAGATTTCCTTGGAAATCCAATGGAGAGCTCCCCCAAGCAGTGGGTTTGGTTTTGCTTTTTTAGAGGTTAACCTGAGACAATCTATTAATGACTTTAAGGTCGATACAAACATCTGTTAAGCAGAATAGAACTATAAAGAAATTATAGATAAATTGCATTTGTGAAAACTTTGTTCATTAAAAAAACACATTACATTGAAAAAGACAGCCACAGATTGCAAGAGGACTTGTCTCAAACATAAACCAAGAATTTCTAACCCCTTTAAAAAATACTGAGAGCTATTTGTTCCATTCAAAATCCTTGCCGCCAAAGGGACAGCACGTGAGAGGAAGAGCCTGGATGAGATGGGTTGACACAGTAACCACGGTAACAGAGTGAGATGTGTTGGAAAGAGTGAGATGGCTCAGGATGGGGCAAGGCTCAGAGCTATTGTGTATGGGGTCAGTATGAGTTTCAGTCCTCGTGACAGCACATAACTATAACAACTATTTAAGTGTAGAAAATGAACGTGTGCTCTTACTAAAGAGAATAGCTGATGGATGCTAAATCGAAGAAAAGTTGATAAAGTGGCACCATTTTGACCTTCTCTGTGCAGGTCACTGGGCCTCCCTCTGAGACCACATGATAAATGCCTGTTTGTTTCTTGGGGTGGGAGGAAAGTTGGTGAAGACAAATTCTTATCAGGGAAATAAAAATTTAAACCATATTGAGATATGACTCAGTTAAAATGTTTATTGTTTGATTATGTTTGGAGTTTTTAATGAGAATATCAAATATTGACAAAAGATTCAGAGCAACAGGAGATCTCCTCTGCATTGCCGATAGGAGTGTAATTTGGATCAAGCTTCCTGGAAAATTAACAGTATTTATACAATCTGTGCAAGTATACAATCTAGTGATGTGACTCCTAAATATGTAAAAACATATCTTGAAATACAAATGTATGTTGAATTTCCTCATAGTTTGTAAAAGCCTAAAATGTGGATAACGCAAGAAGCCACCTGAAGAAGCATGGATGAATTGATTGAAGTCCAGGTATACAATGTATACAGCATAAAATATGAACCAACTATGTCCAACACTATGGGTGAGTTTCTCAAGCTTAATGTTGAAAGAAAGAAGAAACTTACAAAGGAGTGTACAGTATACATTTCTATTTCTGGAAAGTGTTCCAAGCTAGGTGAAACTAGTTGAGATAGAGAGTTAGGGATTGTGTACTGGAAATATGGATGCTATAATTTAAAAAAAGTGCAGACGCATTGATATTGAGTAGATTCTGGTTCATATTGATTCTGTAGAAGACAATAAAACTGCTCTGTACTGTTCTCTAGAGGTTAAGAACTTGCACTGCCAAACTGTAGCCATGTGTTTGCGCCTCAGGAGAAAGATGGGCTATCTCCTCCTGTGTGATTCAAAGTCTCTGAAAACCCATTAGAGGGTCAACTATCAGGCACAGATTTGACGGCACACAACAATAACAATACTGTTGCCAAGACTATATATTTTTTTTCCTTGTTGTGTAACGTTGAATTGGATCCAACTGGTACAGAAAGTGGTTGCCCCTCCTTCTCCAGCGGATCCTCTGGTGGATTCTAACTGTGAGCCTTCAGGACTGCAGCAGAGCTTCTTGCCACTAGGCCACCAGAGTTCCCTAAATTTATACTGTTTTTATGAAAGCAGATTGCTACTTCTTTATTCCATGCAGTGATTGATGGATTTGAACTGCTGACATGTTTGTTAGCTACCAAGTGCCTAACTATTGTGCCATCAGTTTTATGCTAATAAAAAAAAACTTTAAAATTTTCTTTTTAGAAAATTGTCAGATTTAACTTAGTCCCTGAGTCTCATAAAAATTTAACATGTTCAGCTACTACTACCTGAAAGGTTGGGGGTTCAAGTTAACCAAATGCACCTTGGAAAAAAAGACCTGGCGATTAATCTACTTTCAAACAAGCAGCCATTGAAAATCCTGTCTAGCACAATTCTCCTCCGAAACATGGGTCGATGGCAAGTAGGCATGTTTAAGTTAAGCAGTAAATTGACAATATTGGAGTTTTACAATATCTAGTGCTGCCTTAGTCCATAATGTGCTGCACTGCTAACCCAAAAGTTTTGGTAGTCTGAGTCCAGCAATGGCTCAGAGGGGAAAAGGGGGCCCACCTCTTCCCATTGAGCTCATAGTCTCTGAAACCTGATGGAGAATTGCTATGAACTTGACTTGACTTGACTTGCTATTGACTTGATGCAATGAGCTTCAGTTTTGTTGAGACAGATTTTGTTGAGCAAGGGAAAAATTAAACCACTCATTAATCTTGGATACACAGTCAGTACAATGAGAGAATAAAGTTTCCCTAAGTTAAAAACCAGAATTCTTTGACTCTTTTTCATTCTCCTATATTTTCAAATACCACATTTTCCAGAAAATGCCAAAAAGATAAGCGGACATTATTAGGAGCTCCAAGTTCTCTTTGGGAGTGGTAATTGCCCTGCCATCATTGTCACCAAAGAGAATCAGCCCAGATAGTCAAATAAAAGGAATTTTATTTATAAAAATGGTGTCAATGTATACTCCATGTGAAGAATTCTGGTAGAGATTGTGGAAACGGTGCAGGACAGGGCCAGGTTCTGTGTTGTTCAAAGGGTTGTTATCAGTAATAGATAATTCAACACCACCTAACAACAACGGAAACGTTGCGTCTCAAAGCTTAAATATCTTTTATAAGATGTACATATTTAAGCATTTATGCTTTGGGGTTGTTGTGTTGGAGAAGAGTATTGAACATACCACAGACACAAACAAAAGAGGGTGAAACCAAGTTGCTCCTTGGAGACTAGGATTTTGAAGCTCCACATCATATACTTCGGGCATGTGGCCAGGAGGGACCGATCCTTGGAGAAGGACATCATGCTTGGAAGGGTGGAGGGATTGCACAGCAGAAGAAGACCCAAGATGAGATGGACTGACACAGTAACTGGGACAGTAGGGACACATGTGTTGGGTCAGTGAGATTGGCCCAGGATAGGGCAGAATTCAGAGCTGTTGTACATAGAGTCAAGTTGACTTGACCACATATAACAACAACATTTAAGCATTAGAGGAATTTTTTGAGGAGCAATGTACCTAGATGGACATCTCAAAAGAGCCGACACATGGAGTTGCCACCTGTAACATGCATGGAGTCCTAAGAATTCTCACAAGACAACTGGTTTGGTTTCTGTTTTGCTTTTGTGGGTTTGTGTTTTTATTTTAAATAGAGAAATTGATGTGGATTATTGGACAGATTTTATACTTTACTTCAACAAGTAAATATATTTTTGTTGTCGATAGGTGTTTTTGAGTTGACTCCAGTTTAAAGCAAACCAATGTGACAAACTAGACCAGCTCCTTGGAGATCCGTAGCTGTAATGTTTACAGAAGCAGATTGCCAGATCGTTCTCCTGCATGGACAGCAGCTGGACTTAAATACCAAACTTTCGGTTAGTAGGTGAGTGCTTAGTCATTACTATGAGGGCTTCTTGCATATACTTTACCATAGCTAAAACCAGCTGTGGCTGGCAGACAGCTCCCCATCAGCCCAACTGGATAGCGGAGACGTGTCATGAGACCTAGAGAAAAAGAGAAATGATAAATCAAATACTCATAAAAGGAGAAGCTAAATCTAGACACATAGAACATAGTGCCACTCTTGAAATAAACAGGGTGGGAGGAAGTTTGTTTGTTTTCTCCTCTACCACAATGAAAAAAATATTTTTCAAAAAATAGTACATTCTCTTTGTATACAATTTAGACCCCAGGGAGCATAAAGATCCTAAAATACTAAATCCTAGCATTTAGAGGTTGTTGTTCTTGTATGCCATCAAGTCACCTGCAACTCATAATGACCATCTGTACAGTAGCTCTGAAGCCTGTTTATCCTGAGTCAGTCTCACTGACTCCTACACACCTACCCCCATTGCCCCATTCACTGTGTCAATCCATCTCACCCGGTCTTCCTCTCCTGCGCTATCCCTCCACTCTTCCAAACATAATAGCCTTCTCCGTTCTAGCAACATGCCCAAAGTCAGGGAGAAGAAGCTTCAAATTCCTTGCCTCAAGAGAGCAAATTGATTTCCCCTTCTCCAGGACACAACTGTTTTCTTGACGGTCTATGTATGTTCAATACTCTGCTCCAGCACCATAACTCAAAGGCATTGATTCTTCATCTATCGTCCATCATTGTTCAGCTGTAAATGACTGGTTATTGGTGAATATCTTTGTAACAATTTCTATAACCTTGTTTAGAAGCATTTATACACATCAATTTATGTCAATTTATATCAAAGGGTAAACAGAGTCCCTGGGTAGTAAAAAGAGTTAAGTATTTGGTGACTAATCGAAAAGTTCGTGGTTTGACTCTCCCTATGGCTTCCACTTCCTAAATAACATGCCTCCGGAAACTCTATGAACTTTGATAAATGTCAATAGTTGTAGAGGGGCTTCAGGCCTTCTGTTCATAGGGTCACTATGAGTCTTGCTCCACTCGAAGGCAATCAATAACAACAGCAGCTTCCACAGATAAAAGGCCTGGTGATCAACAGTCTTATTCTGAAACACGTGAACACACCATGAGTTAGAATTACTTCAATGGCAACTGGTTTGTTTTTGTTTTTGTTTGGTTGGTTTTTGTAAGAAGATCAAAACATAGACCTATAGTTGACGTAAAGATGCCCTGCTGGCATCCTTGTGCTGACAATCCAAAGGCCACACCTCTCTGGCTGTTCAAATCCACCAGCAGCTCTGTGGGGGAAAGATGAGCAATTTCCCAGCAACTTACAGTTTCAAGAACCTGCTAGAAGGGTAACCCGAGTCACTTCCAGCTCAATGGCAATGAGTGAATGAGTGATAGATGATAGATTTGGAACATGAGATGGGCAACTGGAAGAGGAACAGGTTTGAAGGAAGACTGGTTGTGTAAACAGAAGTTCTTTTCATCATTGTAGAGAAGGGGCTAGGATAGCTGTATGTAGTAGGCCAGGCAATGTTCCCGTGTTCTGTTCAGACAACAGCGTCTTGGCTTAAGTATGTCGTTGTGGTGGTGGTGTGCTGGCGAGTCGGGATTAACCATAGCTGACCCTCCAGCAGGTTTTCAGAGGCAGTAAATCGCACAGGAGATTGCCAATCTTTCTCTTGTGGAGCATTGCTCTCAGACAAAGTTTGTTGTCTTTCCAGATCCTTCCTTCTGGCATCTGAATTCCCATGACTGAATTTGGCCAACGAAGCTCAGATGGCATGGTCTATAACAAGGTGTGTTCCTAACCCAAGCGAGTCACAACTGTGGCAGTTCCAATCCACCAGTGGATTCACAGGATGAGCAGTCTCCTTCCATTGTGATTTAAAGACTCAGAAAGCCAGTGGAGATCACTAGGTGTTAGAAACTGTTGTTGTTGTTGTT